ACCACAGGCCCAAGGAAGCTGGACATCTGGAAAGAGGGAACACTGCTAGCTGGGCACTTAAACCTAGCTACTACTGCCTGAAACAGTGATGAGGACAGACTCCCTTCCCTTGGCAAAAAAGTGTTTCTGCTTAAAACATCTGCCAGAATATTTACATTTCCTCTTAGATGTCTGGGTCTGAAAGGAATGAGATGAGCATAAAGCCGGACTCCCGGAGAGCATCACACTCCAACTCCTATGTCAGCTCCAAATATGAAATAGTTTCACCAAAATGATGCAGGTTTCCCTATTAGGAATCCCTTGAACAAGAAAGGAGGCTGCGAACAGCTCTGAACGCACATCTGTTTGTAAGAACAGCAGTATCTTTTCCACGACCTTTGACAACCCAAGTGAGCTCCAGCTGAATGCTGCCAAGTTGTGACCAGAGCACATTGAGGCTGTCCTGAAGCAACTGGGGAGGAAAGTTGTCATGGAGAAATGATCACAGCCCATTTGTCACTGTCTGACACTGTCTGTGGAACTGCCCTTTGATGGAAAAAAGTTACAATATTGGAAGACAGAAGCCTCAGAAGTCATGTAAGAAATGCTAAGAAGCTGAAGAGATGACGCTTTTGTTAATGGACAAGAGAGCCCAGAAATTAGAAGCGGTTGCCTTGGGTTTTAGTGTCATTTTTGGCACTATGAAAATAAAAGCCCTCTGTTCTTGGCTGTTTGGAAATACATCCCAAGAGGGTAAGATCCTCTGAAAGGGAACAGAAGAGTGTTAGTTGGCTGTTGGATTTTAGGAACTGATCCAGGGCTTATGTCATTACCAAATATCTTGCCAGAAGGAAGGAACTGTTAATCAGCCAGCCACCTATGGAAAGAAGCAGCATTGTGTCCCAGTGGGCTGCTAATTACTGCCATGGGCTTTCGTAGGCACTGGTTATATTAATGCTGGGCTGAAAGGGTAGGTGGGTGAAGTGACTGAGCTCTGGCTTGACTTCCTTCTGCAGTCTGCTTCAAAGGCAGTTCTAGTGGCAAAACAGTAAAAAGAAAATGAGGAATGAAGAGAAGATTTACAAAAGAAACTACTGCAAACTCTATCTTTTGATAGGAAATGGATTAAACCAGCATTTTGTTGGAACAAAGCCCTTATCTTTGTTTTTTTTTAATACACCTTTAGTACCTTAGTACTTAGCAAGTACCTTAGAATCATGACTAGAGATACAGATGCTCCTACTTCATTCTTTGCTTTGATTAAGGGGTTTTATGTTCAGCTAGCTGTATGAACAGACTTGTTTTCAACAATCCTATTTAATCCTTGCTTCCCAGGCTTTATATTTTGAATAAATTTGGAGATCTCATCTTCCATATTGTACTTGGAAAACTTAGTGAGAATGTAAATGCCTGAAAATAAATAAATATTGGGGAAAGTGGGACATATATTTCCAAAACCTGACAATTCAGCAATTTTAAAATGCACTTCTTCACATATATTTATTACCTGTGTCCTAAATATATGCTCCCTGAGGGGTGGGTGATATTTTTGTACTAACACCAGTACAGTGATCTTACATGAAGCCTTTACATGTTAATTCAAAACAAGAGTTCACAATAATTTTTCACATGCCTCTGTGACTTAAGCACATGTTCTTCCATGAGATTGCTGACACCAAACATGAAGATCAAAGCAGAAAAAATGTTGTAGAAATCTATCCTTGGCCATATTCAATCATCCCTCAGAAACCTTGGTGAGGCAAATCAACCATGGACATATGCTCTAGCAACAAATTTGATCAGTTTGTGTAGAGGACCATTTACATTTGATGACTCTCCTAAACTACAGTTATGTTGTTCCTAGGATAGGAAAAGAATGTCGAAACGTCTAGTAGGCTCAGGAACCTATTCAGTGTTTTTTTATAAAAGACCTGGTGGATGTATGGAAGTGTAATACCACTTTAAGATTTGCAGGTGGCAGTTTTATGTAGATGTAGATGGCTTGGCTGCTGTGCAGGTGATCAAATTTTGAGATTCCTTGAGTTGGAAACTGGACTTGTGACTTTCTGCACCAAAAGTCAGGATGCAATATAAGTAAGTACTAAGCAAAGCAATAAACTGATTAAAGGAATAACGTACTTACTGGTATTAAGTTATTATTAGCTTTGGCAACTATCATATACTGGCCAAATATAAAAATGATTCAGTTTCAAACCCATTGCTTTCGACCTTGTAATAAATAAAAGCCTTCCAAAAACCAAGCTAGACTAAAATATTAAATCCTGGCTCCAAAGGAGAAAGACGACTCATAACAAAGTGATTCTATAAGCACAAATCTCCCTAAAATCCTTGGCTGAAAATGTAGAACACAAACAATACTCTGGCTCATGACTGTGGAAAAAACTGTTCTCCATTTAAAATGATTGTCACCAACGTAATCCCATCTTTAATTATAATTAATGTAAGGGGCTTTTATGTATGGTAATATGTTGCCAAGAATTCAGCTTTTAGGAAGGGACACATTTCCAAATTACAGTGGATCTTAAAATGGAACAAATAATAACATATAAAGCTGTCAGAGATACAATGAACTGAAGACATTACAGTAGCAATAACTTACACTACTGACAGCCAGGAAATATCCTATGAGTGACTTTTAGAAAGACATCTTTTTTTCCCCTCTTTTAGTTACTGACTTTTTTTTTTCAACTTCAGCCAAAATCAGCTAAAAATATTGTTTAGGTTTGTAGCTAGTGCCATTTAATTTGGCAGTAACTGCATTGCCAAAAGGTTCATGTTAATCTTACCTTAACCAGTTTACGCCGATCTGTTAGCACTTAACCACTATTCCCTTGTCAAATCAGCATCCAGGCTGCTTGACCAGTTTGTGAAAGAGACTGGCCAGCCTATGTTATGACCTCTTAGAATCAAAATCCAGCTGACAGTGAGGCCCAGGCACCAAAAATTATTTAAGATCCACAGGTCCAGCGAGTTGCTGGACCGTTTTCTCATCCTTGATGACAGCTATTCACCTGGATTATTCCATGGCTGTGCTCACAGTTGGAGAGGCAGATAAAAACCTACTACTCTATAGCAGCAGAGATTAACTTTGAAGTTCTTTCATTAGCAGTGATGAGTAAGGAACTCCAAAGCGATCGTGACTGCACAGCCATGGACCTGTCCATTTGGTCTCGGGCTGTGTCTGCTCACACAGGGTGCATCAGCTGAAGTTCATGTTCAACTTCAACAACTTCAACAGGGTCCCTGTGGTTGGGCTGCAGCCCGTTTCAGTACACTTGAAAATCCAGCCTTTGCCATATCATGGTCTCAGATCTATGCTGTATGAAGTTGTCATACCTAGCTAAAAAGATCTAGTGACTGAATTTTAAAGTCATTGCTGGTGTTGGAGTGAATTTTGCTGTTTTATATAGCTGTGACATGAAATATTACAGTAAATGAGAAATAAAGAATATTTCTTCATAGATAAGTTGCTTCTTAAATCATAGTTCACCAGAGACCTGAAATACTAGAAAAAGCCCATGCAAAATCATGTAACCTAGAATGGCAAAGGAGCATTCTGACACACTGCTCTTGTTTGTATGCCTAATTAAACTGTGAGACTGTAGTATGATGTAACCACTATCCAAGTTTAATCAATTTTAGCACAAATAACAGTGAAGAAGCAACAACATTGTCTGTAAGATATATTTGTCTACAGCAGCAGCCAGAGACAAATGCTTGGAGTGATCTGCATAGACACCGTTTACCGACAATCTGGATATTAGTGTGCTGAAGCCTACGTAGTTGCAACTGCACTCTGCCTTTGGACATCAGAATACTCAGCAGAAGTACAAATTGCCATCTTCATGCTGCTTTTGGGGAAACTGAGCAAAACAGTTTCACAGTACATGAAGAAAAATGGTTCTTGATTTAGACAGACTGGTCTGCTTTCTAGTCAAAAATCTCTTCAGCTCCAACTGAAATGTTAGCTTCTCACTAAATTATGAAAAATCAAGGTAAGGTCTTAGAAAACACAAAGGTTGCTTTTGAATAAAATTAATTACCCAAGGTCACTTACAAAGTCAGTAACTGACTTGAGAACAGAAACTTGATACCATCTTCCTTCTTCACATGAGCACATAGGACTAAATGAACAAGCCTTCAGAAACTACAGCAGTAGACATGAATTTCATTGATAAGAAACTTGCAAAGTATTATTATAAATATTAATAAATAGCAAACATGTAACTAAGCACTAATAGATACAAGATTTATACACGATTCAGATAAACTTTAACATATACTTCCCACAGGACTCTGAAGATCACTTTTAAAACTTTACAATATTACAAATATATTACAGAATATAATTAAACCACGCTAGGCTGAACCCAAGTAAAAGGTCTTGCTGAACAGAAACTGACCTGCTACTCCAAGAACTTGTGAAAGAGAGCATCAAAACTACAAACAGGAAACCAAGGAGGCTCACCACTCTCTCTAACAACTGCTGAATATGTCCGCTGTGAATATGTCTGGTAGTTCTTGAAAATTATTGAAGCAAGTGTTTGTCACAATTAATTTAACATTATTATGAGGATAAGCACAGCCTTCCTGTAGCATCAGACAAGCGGCTTCAGTTCAAGTTCCAAGATTATTCTTTTGAATAGAAAAAAAAATCCTTTCCTTTGAACTTAAAGTCATGTTAACTCTCATCTTCAGAGGTTCTTGAATTTCAAAGTGATCTGAACCACATCTTGGAAGTGAAAGTGGTTCCTAGCTTTATGAACAATGCATGTTTTAGCAAGAAATTCTTATCCTATTGTCAACATTTCCTGCTTTTCTTTCCTTCACGGTTGTCTTTCTTAGCAGCATAAACAGCACTGAGGGCAGGGGTCATTTTCTTCTCTATTCTGGCCATTCAATTAGTAGCAAAAGATAAATACTATGTAAAGGAAGGGAAGCTGCTGACAGGCCTTGGAAAATTCTGTTTCATTGGCAAGGAATTTCTTCCCTCGACCTACCTTTTCTTGATTCTGGCAGAGGGGACAGTCACATTCAAAGCAATACTGGCGCATCAGTTGCTTTTGGCGTTCGCTGGTCGGCATCAGTGATTCAATATAGCTGATGGTGAGCTGTGTGCAGTACATACAAAACCAGAGTTGACATATTTTACAAAAATCTCACATTCTGTGTATGTATGGCTAAGCTAACATTTTTGGATACAACATTTTTCCAGCATAAAATAGAATTTTATCTTAACAGGTGATTTCCTAGAAGAAACTGACAACTTTTACAAAGGGTGAAAAAAAGGGCCAAATATAATTTCCATGGAAGAACACTTTTTCACATTTCCAGACTAATATTGTTTGAAATTATTAATTCCCCCAAAACTACCACTATTTCAATGTTTCATCCTAATCTGGAAGAAAAAGAAAAAAGTGAGAGAAACAAAATGGGAGAGAAAGGGAGCTCAGTATGTGAATTCCCAGTACATGGAATCTCATTTTCTGTGTAGCTCCAAAGCTTACATGTGTATTTAGCTCTGGTGTTATACAACTGTCTCCAAAAAATTTTGTCTCAGGGGAGCCCCTACTTTCTTGCAAATATATGTTTGAACCTGAGGAAAGTTCTTCTTATGTCATATCCATCTTCAGTGTGTCTGTGATGTTTCCTTTGTGACCAAGGAAGCACAAAAGCATTGCAGTCAAATTTGTTGAAACTATTGACAAGAAAATTTATGAAAATGATAAAAGGAAATGCTTACTTTTGTGCCATTTTCAGAGCCTCATGCTGTACAGAGTGAATTCCAATGAACTGCAGAGAAGTCTATATAGTTTGTTTACTTTGAGGCCTGCCAGAAGGAATTTTAGAGGGCTAACCATTTGTAGAGTTCTTCAAATCTTTAAAGAGCACAGGCCAAAACTAATGATAAGGGAAAGGATATAACAAAATAACAGCCCAGCTCACACCAGCGTTCAGTCATACATGCTATTGAGTGATTACACTATACGCCCAACACACTTTGAAACACTCCAGAGAGGTCAGCGCTAAAAAAAAAAACAGGTCACATTATTTCATCTTGAGCCTAGACACTCCAACTAATTGGGAGAATTTTCACATGGTTCTCAGTTAAATCATGAGAGTCCACTCAAAGAAATTACAGGAAAACCTGGCCAATTTGTAGTAATGACTATGAAATCCATTGTCAGAACCTGCATTTTGCAAATTAGCGAGCATTCTAATTACATGAGCAATTAACAAGCAACCAAAACAATGCCTGCATTTTTTTCATTTATTATTACAGTATAATTTGATTACATATTGAAGTGGGATTGTATTAAAAGATTACTGAGATGGCAAAGTCAAGTATTTAAAATGATCCTACACAGAAAGCCTGCAGAAAAAAATAAATATGGTCTCATAATTGAAGATTAATAGTAAAACTAATGAAAGAGACATATTCAAGTTCCACAGATAATCAAAAGTTAGAAAGTGGAGAACTTCGTTAGGTTTTGCATTCTGTATAATGTTGTTCTGTCCCAGTTTGTGCATATGTGAGCCGAGAGGGGACTAGTTTCAGCACTGTCAGTTTGCAGCAGAACAGACTGCACTAATCATTTACACAGGAGCTGTAGACTTCCCTCAGAGCTTTCTGCAGTGAACGGATGGAAATTGTTTTGCCTATTTCTTTTCCACTCTTTTCTCCCAACCTTGGTTTCTTCTGCCCCATTCTCTCCAATCTGTCCTTATCATTCTCTCCCTTCTCTGCCTCTGGACATGAGTATAATTTTCCAGTCTTATTCTCCACACCTGGCTATCTAAACCTGGTTTCCACCCCCAGTTCTATCTCCTTACATAGTCATTCTTGGTACAATGGGATGATTTAATCATCCTGCCAGTCCCAGATCTGCCCTTCTGCCTCATCTTACACCTCTTCCCCATATTTGATCACCAACACTCTTATTCTCCCAAGTTAACAGTCCTTTTTGCCTGCTCTGGTTTCTCAGTCATCTTCAGTGACCCCACCAACTTTGTCCTTGTTTCTTTGCCCAGCTGGTGTGGTAAGCATCCTCCCTGGTGTGGTAAGAAAGATTTGCCTCCCTGCCTTCCCACAAAGCAGCTTCCAGTCAAGCTGTAGTCCTAACCTCATCCTTCAGCCATTCCAAGCCCAATTTCTCTCCCATCTTAAGTCTCTGATCTTCATGTCTCCTCACAACTCACAAGGGTTTTCTGTCAAAATAATTCCACACACTGGCTTGTTCCCTGTCTCTCATCCTCTGCATAAACATCAGTGGTTCTGACCCATGTCCTACTGGGCTTTAGGTTCAGGTGGCATTCAGCAGTAAAAGGGATTTAATCAAGTTCAGGCACAGTGCAAGACAACAGGAATCTCCTGGGAAAAATAATTCATGTGAGATTAATCTATTCTTTACCAAAATACTTAAGACAATGGTTTAAACCCTATCATCACTGTCGAACCCATCATTAGGCAGGGTTCAGTTCTAATACTGCAAAACAAACCCATAGCCAACATCCAACCTGCTTTATCTCTCTTCAGCCTACAGGCTTCATCTCTTTCTCTCTTTTCTTTTTTGGCTTTTTTTTTTTTTTTTCATTCATGTTGCAGAAACCTTGGAAGTAGGAACAAGTTTGAAACTAGTAACTTCTTTTACAGAGGTTATCAAACAGTTGTGGATATGAACAGTCACGTAACAACCTGCTCTGAATTAGAGCATATGGCTGTATGACTGGGCAGGAGGAGGAGAAGAGGCTTCGTCACATTGATACCTTCTTTTAGCATTTTAACAGCTTAGGGTTTCTCTTGCTGTCGGAGGCCCAAGTCCAAATTCCCAGGCCTGCCAGCAGAAATCTGTAAGTGAAAAAATGTTTGTAGCTGGCAGACTGAGTGGGAAAATGTAATTAGAATATTTAGAAACATGACCAACCTAACAGTTACTAAGTCTATACTAATCATTTAATCGTTTAAACATAAAAATTCTGTATTCAAGTCTCTCTCCTACACTGGCTTTAATTTTGGATCCCTTCATTAGATGCAAGGTTCATTTAACTTGCACATATTTAGGAAATATGCCCATTTATCAAAGGTTGTCTTAATGGTATTTGCATGTGGGATGTATGGTATTAATTAAAACATTATTTCAGCTGACCAAAGCTTGCCTCTTTATTGCATCGCTTATAAAGAATGCAGTAAATCTTTTCCCCCGAACTGAGGAATATACATTAAATAACATTTATGAAGGCAGGGAATTATTTAACAGCCGTGAGACTTATTGACTCTGAAGACTTCCTCCGTAGAAATGCAGCACTGTCTGAGCTTCTCGCTCTGACACAGAAATTTTTAAACCATGGATATGGTGGTTAGTTTCTCATGTTCCTTGTCTGCCAGATGAGGTGGACACCATTTTCCAGTACTGCCATGCTGCAGTGGAGTTAATTTATGGGTTTTTTTTTGTAACAGGCTATAAGCTACAAAATTTCTAGACAGAGGACTTTGCAGAAATTTTAAATCAATTATTTTAATGCAAATGGCAGGGAAAAAAAGTGAGTCCACTTGGTTTTGCAGTCCTGGGTCTCAGGGTCTTGGGGGGGGTTGTGTACAAAAATCTGTTCCTGAGACAGAGTTATGTAAGTGATGAACAGTCTGTACTCTTTCTGTTTTGGCATATATGATCCAAATGCCTTCTAAAAAGGAAAAATTTGGTTTTTAAAAAAAGTAATATCACAAAATGTAATGTGTCAAACATACACAGATATAAAACTTCTCCCCATAGAACTACAATAACAGAAATATTACATATCTTGGTTGAAATCTATCTGCATTGTAGATTTCAGATAATATTGCTGGTCATCTGAAATGATGATTTGTATTTAGTATTAATTTCAAAAATTAGTTGCTCTGTAAGAGTGGTCTGTTACGTAACATTCTGCAGAAAGACATAAATTTGCTCTAACTGAACTCTGAAGCTGATGGGAAGCCATGCACTCATTTTTGGAGCAGAACTGGGCCTCAGCTAATACATCCTGTCTCTCAGCAGGACTAATTGATTGGAGCCATGCACTGAACTAACTATAGCTACAACTTTTGTTTGGAGAATAGGCAAAATGAGCTCATGTCTGCCTGCAAAACACAAGGTAGACACAATAATTAACAAAAAGTCATTTGAGATTATAGCACACATCTTGACACTGTTTAAAGTGGTTACTGAAGGGTAGGGAAATGATGAAGACCTCTTCAGAACAGGTTGCTTGTCTTTTAGAAAAAATAAATTAGCTGATAGGCTACCTCATCACTGAAGGAGCCCTGGTGATCTCTAGGTGAATAATTTTTGCTTCTTATAATCCTTCCCCATCTCTTACCTTCCTTTGCAATACTTGAATTTCATTTTTGCAAAAAAAGAAAGTACAAGAAAAGGAAATCTTTGTACACTGTCAAAATAACATCACCTGAAGTTACAAAAGCTGTGATAGTCAGCACTATAACTAACATTGTCTTGAGGAGCAGAAAGGTGTTATAATTATTTTTTAAGCTGCTGGAAGCAACTTTCAGAAAGTCCTGTAGTCTTTTAAGTAGGGACATATGGAATAAAATCTGCAAAAATCTACTATTTCTTTCTTCCTGCTATTAGACTACATTATGCTCAAAATCCCGGTACAGAGTAGAGTCTACAGAATGCTAGGAGACCCTTTCTAGCCACCTCGACCCGCCCCCCCATCTATGAATGGAGATCAACAGCTGCTCCCAAGCCTCATCTTCCTTCCACTTGTTTCGTCATCTCCTCAGCTTCCTACCTGTTTCATTCCCTTTATGCCATTTGCAGTACAGAAAACACTTAAATTTAGTGGTGATCATTACCAGGCAGGCAAGCACTAGAATTTTGGGTATTAGCATATACCCATACCGCCTTATAAGAACTATAATAGAGTCTAAGGAAAGATGGAGAAGAAAAAAAGAAAGGCCAACAAGCTCAAAAAAAGTTTCCTATTCAGAGACAAATTTTTACTTTAAAAATTTACATTTAATGAGGATTATAAATGTAATTTAAACAGACAAATAAGTTACATAACAATAGAAATGAAAGCTATTATTTTGAACATCAACTAAAGCATTC